TCTTCTTTTTTTTTTTTTTTTTTTTTGAAAACTTAATCCTTCCTTTTTTCACTTTAAAGTCAAACTCCATATGTAATAATTAACAAGATCCTAATAATTTAGTTTGTAATAATCCAACTCTGCAAGCAATGAAGAAAAGGGAAATAATAATAATAATAAGCTTGCAAACATTAGATACCTCAGCAAAGAGAAGATTGAAAATGTCGAAGAACTAGCTCCTTTTTTCGGTAAATTAATCCTTCAACTTTGTGTTAATTGCTAACATATGAAAACCTCAAAAGGGCTTTTTCTTTATTATTTTATTTTTATTTTTATTTTTATAATTGTGGTCGATTGTAGAATGAAGAAGATAGGAGGATTTTTCTTTTTCCTAGTTACAGCAACAATCAAATAAGAAAAGGGTTTGTGTTTGATTAGCAGATTAGGTTTTTAGAATCTCAAAAACGACATGGCTTTGAGTTAAAAGGTACCATTGTTGTAAAAGGTACTCTCCATTTCCAAGTTAGATGATTCTGTCCGGGTCTATAAAAAATTGTATAGGGTGGGTCTTTTTTTTTCAGTTCAAATGCACAGACAATATTTTATGAAAAGCAAACCGATTAGGTGTTTGGTTTACCAATTGACTGACCGGTCCAGTTCGATTCTAATAACACTGCTTTCAATCTGTTTGCTATATTTTCTGTTTTTCAATATAAGACCCAATATGTAGGCTACGTAATAAGGTTAGCACTCTTTGGTGTTTCTTTTTTAATGAAAGTTCATTCTGCACAACTCGAGTTCAATAAATTGGATTGAATAAAAGGTAAAACAGAAAAAAAAGAACATGTAGAATCTAGCTAGGTTATCTCAATTATGAGCTGTCTTGTTATTCTTTCTTTTGATGAAAATATAGAAATGCTAAGAAGACAAACTATGATCAAGAGGATAAACTAGGAAACGGGGATTCAAAGAATTAATGTAATATAAGAATTCCGTATATAAAAAAGAATTGTATCACTATATATTTTACACACACACATATATATATACACACACGGAATTCTTATAGTAATACAATCTCTTGATAGTTTGTTTTCTTAACATTTCTCCTCAATCTCATGGGAATAAGAAGAATATGAAACTTGTCATTGAGCATTAGAAACCGAGAGGTGGAGAGAGTTTTGGTGAGTAAATCTATGCATATGTTGTACCTCAAAATCCTTTTGGAAAGTGATAGTCAATTTCTCACACGGCAGTATGGCCAAGGACACTCAATTAGGCCGAAATTCATAATAAAAAGGCTAAGAGTTTGTTTTGCAAGACCGGCCAAATTAATGTTTATTGTAGGTTATCTTTTTTGGTTTGTGTTACCTTAATTGATTTAGGTCACCTAGTCTAAATGAGGGTTTGATTCTACAAAAAAAAAAAAAAAAGAATCCTATTATTTTTAGATTTCTTATTTAATTTAGATTAAACAAGTTAGTTTTATTTAATTATGGATAGGATTTAAGTTTTCTATTAGAATTAGACTAGAGTTTTGTGTTCATGTTGGACAAGTTTGTAGCTATTGACCGAATGTAATAAATGATGTTTATTCTCTAGTGGCTGAATACTAGTACAAATAGAGACTTTATGCTTGTAGAAAAATAGAACATTATTTAATTTGATTATTAATAAAATCTAGAGAAGTTCTCTCATGCTTTAAATTCTTCTGCATTGCTTAAAGTTTGTTTTTATATTCTTGAAAATTGATCATTCAAGATAGTGTTGTCAATCAACCAATCTAACTAAAAGTATAATACAATTAATAATCTCGATCAAATCATTTTGGATTAAATCACTTAATTTAGATTGTAGTGAGGTTTCAAATAACTTTTTCAAAATCAATCAAAGCTAGGGCTTTCATCTACTTGAAGGGTTTAAGCCTAAATCAACAAAGGCTGAAATTTTCATATCATTCATTAACTTAAAAAGAAGATTCTAGATTCTTTGTTTTTAAAAGACTAAAATTCGGCAGCCATATAAAATTATCTTGAAGTATTTATCTTAATTCTAAAGCATCACAAAAACAATGTTAACTTAGTATCAGAATTTTGTTTCACTTTTACACGTGTTCTTGATCAAGTTTCGTGACGATGCCTTCAAGAAACAACAATGATGCAAGAGCACCCTCTCAACGTGGCCAAATGTTTCTGCACTAAGGTGATTGGAACTTTCAGCTACTTATCATATTTTATGTTGTTGTTATTTTATTTATTTGAGTTAGATATTATTTATTTAGGCTATTTTTAATTGTGTGGATTTGAGGTAATTAATTAGTCCTCATTTTTTTTTTTTTTATTCTCTTTATTTAGGGACATGGCTTAATGTGTGGCCTTGGTGGTTGAGTGGATCTTTTATGTTATGGACCCTTATTTTTTTAGGAGTTCTTACTTAATTATGAGTCCATATAATATGTGGATCCATATTTAATTGGGCTAAATTAATTAAGTTCTAATTAAATGTGGATTGCATAAGTTTAAGTTTATTAAAAAAGAGTTAAAGTGTGACCTAGGAAAGGAAACACAACTCTAGCTACAACTTCTAGTGTTTTTAGGAAGTGAGTATTTAAGCATATTTTGTGTGTCTTATTTGTCAAGATTTTTATAAACTTTTCAATGAAAAATTAGAGATTTTTTCTACAACTCGCTTTGTGTATTTATTTGCTTGAATTGGTTAAGCCATCGTGAAATATATTCTTAAAGTAATTAACTAAAGTATGGTCCAGATCAACAATTGAGTCCGGTGGACTCTTGAAGAATATATCTCATAAGTACTCTCTAAATTATGTTTGAGTTCTAGACTCTTCTCAAGGGTGAGATGTTAAAGTTTGCACTTTATTTATTTGATTGATAAATTAAAGATGGACTTAATTTCCAAGATTGAATAGTTTTTGTCTCAAAGATGATAATCAAGGCTAAAGATTTTTGTTTGGTATGAAATTTTGATATTATGATATGAAGGGATTGATTGAACTCTTGTAAAAATATTTTAATGGGTTTTAGGGTTGTCGAAGTCATTACAATTTGTCGAATCTTATCTTTTTTAGAATTTTGACTTGCTTAAATAAGAATCTAGAGGGTTTGGATTGATATGAAATTTGGTACACATATTCCCGTTTACCTTATCTCTCGTTTTGGTAAAATTCTAAAACAAAAAACTAAAAGAAAATGAGAAAGCTCATTAACTATTTTCCCTCTTCTCCGGTTGTTTAGCCAAGCTCTCAAGGAATTTTTTTTTTATTTTGGTCATTAAAAATTTATAATATTTAATTGTTATTCCTATAATAAATATTTTTTTCTTGGCTTTTAGTAAAAAATTATGCTTTTTTTGGTTTAGATTTTATGATATATTTTTATTTTAGTCATTAAAATTTTATTATATTTGATTTTTATCCTTACTATATTAAAACTAAATAAATTTTACTATCTTAAGCTTTTTTTTTTTTTTAGTTAAACTCTTCTTTCTATTATAATTTCGTTTTGTGATTTTTTCTTTGTTTTGGCTATTAAATTTAGTAGAATTTTACTTTTGTTTTAGTCCATGTTTTATACGTGTTTTTTATTTTGATCATTAAATTTTTATTATATTTGATTTTTTTCCCTACAATGAACTATTTTTTACTTTTAGTAAAACTTTTTGTTATGTTTTGATTTTGATTTTATGATTTTCTTTTATTTTGATCATTAAATTTTTATTATATTTGATCACTATTCATTCTACACTAAATTAAATACAGCTTTCACTATTCTAAATTTTTTTTTAAGCTTTTAGTAAAAAATATTTTATGTTTTTGGTGCTTATTTTGTTTTTTTTTTTCATTAAAATTCTATCATGTTTTACTTTTGCACTTGCTTTATGCATAATGAATTTTCTTTTAGTCTTATTGTTTATAATTTATTTTTTTTTTGCTTTTAGTGAAAGTTTTTTTTATTTATTTTGATCATTCTTTTATGATCTTTACTTTGTTTTGATCATTTAATTTTTATTTTGTGTAATTTTATCTCTATTTTTTGTCAAATTCTCGATTTGATAAAGTTTTTTTGTTTTGGGTGGTCTCTCTATCTCATTAACAAATTATAGATGAATAGTATATGATAAAAATTAATCATCTAAATTTTTAAAAAATTACCACATCATTATTTTAATTACCCGTTATTATATATATTTTAAATAAAATACATGTTTATATCAAATAATATCTAATTAGCAACATTACATTACTCAACTTTGCATACTTTTCATTTAGATAACCCTGCAGACAAAATATGAAATATATGTTTTGATTTTTTTTTTTTTTGAATTTTTTTCACATGATCCTTTAAATAATTATTTTTAAATTTTGTATTTTATATGAATGAACATATATGTTGCATAGTTCACCCTATGGCAACGCGCAGGATCTATGCTAGTTTCAGCTATTCTAAGTTGATTTTCTTAGATAATGCATTAATCCTAGTTACTAGGTTATGTGGTGTTGTTTGGTGATTTTGGGTTTTTGATTGTGTTTGCTTTTGTGGGTTTGTTTGTATGTGAATTGGTTTGTGATTGTGATCAGGTGATTGAGAATTTTTTGAAATGATTTCAAGGTTGATTTGTGGCTGGAGTATCTTGGCTTATTACTATTCTTTATTCTTTAGGCCCTTGTGTATTTGAGATTCCGTAAAGTTTGACATCTCTCAATCCAGAATCAAACAAAATCAAGTCACCATGATAAATTTGCAATGTGAGAATGCATCCTTATCACGAAGACTTGAAGAGCTTGACAGGAGACACTTGCAACGTGAGAATGTTCGTTCGCAACAAAGACTTGAAGAAAGTAAGAGGGGATACAGTGAGGCTCAAGATCAACAATCCGAGCATGTGGTGAAGATTAGAAAAGAAAATTTTCAGCAACAAACGAATGAATTTAAAGCTAGGAGGATAGGACTTGGATGAGCAATTTTGTAGGATGATAGTCCAAACACGTCGAGTACGAAAAAATGAACTTCATCGCTACATGGCAGACACCAATAAAACCTTTGTGCAAAAGAATTTTTTGTTGTGGAATCTTTGGATTTACTGTTGTGGAGTCCATAACTCATTGCTTTTCAACATTCATCAATTCTCATAGAGGTCTTACAGTGATCAAGCAATGTGGAGTTGGGGAACGTGACGGTGGTAGAAATCAAAAAGAGGAGTTCTATAGCTTTAGTTCTGTAAAGATAGGATACTTGCCAACGAAGGGATATGAGATTGATCATAGAGATACTTTCCTTGTTGACAAGGTTTCCATACTTACTGCATGGCAAATTCACGAAAAACAACTACATATAGTGGCTCGTCCTAGTTAAAACAGATGATACTTTGCTGTCGAAATATAACTCCAAAATGCAGCCAAACCTTATAAAGCCGTGACTGAACAGAAGATAAATCACGCCACAAGTGTTGATCATGCTAACAACCAAGCGTGGACTGAATTGTGCACGGAAGTTGTAGCAAACTTTCAAAGAATGGAGGATGAAGCTGTCGTAAGCAAACTTAAATTTTCAAGAAATGGCGTCAAGACGGAATACTAGCTTGAAGTTCATTCATGACAGCTAGGAGTTCTTGTTAAAATTACACTCTTTAAAACAGCCCCTGAAAAGATTAAAAGAAGTACATATCATCTTACAAATATTTAAGATCAAAATTCAAGTACAATAAAATTGTACTTATAAGAAGTTGGGCTAGATTACATGGACTGCATAATAAAGCAAAGTAAAAAGGGAAGGAAAGGTTTAGTTAGACATCCACGGGATCAAGAAAAAATGGATCGAAGTCAAGTTTTCTTCGACTCGATATGTTTGACTCGGGAGTGTGGCTAAGGACAATCAATTTGGCTGAAATTCATAAGCAACAAGGCCAAGAGTTTGTTTTGCAAGATGGGCCAAATTTAATAATTATTCTTAGATTATTTTGTTTGGTTTGGATTACCTTAATCATTTTAAGTCATCTTGTTATTTTTGGGTTATCCTGCTCTCAATCTGTCGTCAAACGTTGCTACAATTTTTAACCTATGGGAAATTTCATTCGTTAAATCCTTTTAAGCCAACTTATCCTAATCCTGTTTGATAGGTTTTCCGATTAAAGTATTCTAACTTTCTACCGGACAATCTCGGAATTGAGTGATAAAATTCAGTTTCGTTGCCTTTTATTTGTTTATGGATCATTAGGATATGAGAAAGGGCGTATCTTGAGATACAATCCCTTATCAATCAAGAACATGGATCATTAGAATCAAAAGTTCAAAATGGATATTGCGAAAATAGGCTTTTGGAATCTAAAATCAAAACAAATCAATATAGTCACACTCCATCCCAATCCGTAATCCAAAATTACTAAATAATAATGCATGTCTTAAATTTAATAGGATGGACCCTTAGCTTATAAGCATTCTACAAAACAATGATTAGTTGAAACATAAATAAAGATCAAATGAATAAGAAAAGCAAAGTCAATCACACAAAGCAAACAAACGTGGGTTTTTGGGCCTACCTTCTTCTTCATATCAAGCCCATAAGAAAAATCTCATACCGCATTGTACAATCAAGCAAGATGGGATTCGGACATGAGACCCAACCTACAAAACAAAGGCTAGTCAAAGATAAAATTAAAATGCAAAATGTAAATCATGTATTTTAATTATTTACAATAACAATACCATAGTTGTCTCGCAACACTACAACAAAAAAAGGATATAAAGACGGAAAGGTTGAGGCCTTAAAATCTTTCAACGGTTGCACTGCAATTGGACTTTTATAGTATAAATTTGAGACGGTTTACAAAATCGCCCCAAGGTTTAAGGAGAGGCGCGCACGACTTTTATTTCATAATATATATATATATATTAATTTGGTTCGAAAGGAAGGGCACTCGTTTCATTTTTTCTTATCTCCTTAGGGTTTTGCAGCTTCTCTTCCTTTGCTTATTCCATTTGTTCTCTCTCGCTTCTTGGATTCACAAGGGTTTTGCAATTTCATTTTTAATTTCTTCTCCTCTCGCTTCGTCGGGATCCCAAAACGCGTTGAAGTACCTTATCAATTAATGAAAATCATTCTCGAATCCTCTTTTTCTTCTCTCGTCACACTCTTCTTTCTCTCGCCACTCTCTTCTTTCTCTCGCTCCCTCTTTTGTTCCTTCGCTAACTCCGTAACTCCTTCTTCTTCTTTTGCCCCACTCACACTCGTAGTTGGTCCTTAACTAGCCGGTCCCTTACGACTTCTTCCATATCCTCGCTTCTTCTTTCTTTTTCTTTTTTTTTTAGCATAAAAACGCTATATTATCCCTCTCCTTTTTGGGTTTTTCTTCTCCTCTCGCTTGTTTGTTATTCTCCTCTGCTTTGTCCTTCTCTAATAATAAGTATGCTAAATTAAGAATGAGAGAAATTGCTAATTTGATTCTCATTTTCCCTAAAGAAAGCCTATTGTTGTCCTCTCCGTAATGGGCAAAACTACTAACAAGCTTTTACCGGTAAAAGAAACTAACAAATAATGCAACAATCTATTATTCCTTTCATCCGTTTCTTCTTTTTTTCCTTAATGTTGATTGTAAAAAGGTTGACTTGTGGTGTGTTCGAGCGAGAGAGAAAACCGTGAGTTGCGGTGGTTCTAATGCATCAAAAATTGAGCTGAGTTTTATAAAAAAAAATGCATTTTAGGTTTGTTTATTAGCTTTTTCTATTACTTTTGTGTCATTTTTTTTCCCTTTTTTTATGTTGATTAAAATTTGCATGGTTTTGGTTTATTCAATCGGGATCGTAAAGGAACTTAGAGGGAATACCAACTTTGGATCTAAGACTAGAAAAGAGGATCTTAATTGACACCGAAAGGGAATACCAACTTTGGATCTAAGACTAGAGAAGAGGATCTTGATTGATTAATGCTACTCGGGTATTGTACCTTGTAACCATATAACTATTTTACTTACTTGTTTGTGTTTCTTTTTATTTTTCTTGTTTTTATTTAGTAATAAGTGGATGCTTTTGTTAATGCTTATCAAATATAGTTTGGTCTTCTTGATGTTACATCTTTTTTAAATTGAATATCTATGATGTAGATGGTTAGCAATGAATTGATGACACAATTGTGAGTTAGGAGTTTATGTGTTCTATTGATTGTGAAGCAAATGAGAAGGGCGAGTATATCTAAAACCATATTATTTTATTTGTCGAGATGAGAATTCTTTTTTTGTATATGGCTATAGTTCTTACATAGAAAATAGGATTTTAAAGTATTCTAACTTTCTACCGGACAATCTCAAAATTGAGTGATAACATTCGGTTTCATTGCCTTTTATTTGCTTATGGATCATTAGGATATGAGAAAGGGCGTATCTTGAGATAGAATCCTTTATCAATCAAGAACATGGATCATTAGAATCAAAAGTTCAAAATGGATATTACGAAAATGGGCTTTTGGAATCCAAAACCAAAACAAACCAATATAGTCACAATCCGACCTAATCCGTAATCCAAAATTACTAAATAATAATGCATGTGTTAAATTTAATAGGATGGACCCTTAGCTCATAAGCATTCTACAAAACAAAGATTGGTTGAACCATAAATAAAGATCAAATGAATAAGACAAGCAAAGTAAACACAAAGCAAACAAATATGGGTTTTTGGACCTACCTTCTTCTTCATCTCACAATACTACAACAAAAAAAGGATATAGAGGCGGAAAGGTTGAGGCGGTTTTATAAATCACCTCAAAGTCTTTCGGTAGTTGCACTACTAATTGGACTTTTATAGTATAAATTTGAGGTGGTTTACAAAGCCGCCCCAAGGTTTAAGGAGAGGCACGTGCGACTTTTATTTCATAATATATTATTATTATTATTATTATTATTATTTTGGTTTGAAAGGAAGGGGGCCGTTTCATTTTTTCTTACCTTATTAGGGTTTTGCGGCTTCTCTTCCTTTGCGTATTCGATTTTTTCTCTCTGCTTCTTCAATTCATAAGGGTTTTGTAGTTTCATTTTTAATTTCTTCTCATTTGCTTCGTCGGGATCCCAAAATGCGTTGTGGTACCTTATCAATTAGTGAAAATCATTCTCGAATCCTATCTTTTCTTCTTTGTCACACTCTTCTTTCTCTCGCCACTCTCTTCTTTCTCTACTCCCTCTTTTGTTCCTTCTGCTAACCTCGCAACTCCTTCTTCTTCTTTTGTGCCACTCACACCTGTAGCTGGTCCTTAACTAGCTAGTCCCTTACGAGTTCTTCCATCTTCTCGCTTCTTCCTTTTTTTTTTCTTTTTTTTTAACATAAGAACGTCATATTATCCCTCTCCTCTTTGGGTTTTTCTTCTCCTCTGTTTCAAGCTTCTTCTCATTTGCTTGTTTGTTCTTCTCCTTTGCTTCGTCCTTCTCTAATAATAAGTATACTAAATTAAGAATGAGAGAAATTACTAATTTGATTCTCGGTTTCCCTAAAGAAAGGCCTATTGTTGTCCTCTCTGCTATGGGCAAAACTACTAACAAGCTTTTCTTGGTAAAAGAAACTAATAAATAATGCAATAATCTATTATTCCTTTTATTTGTTTCTTCTTTTTCTTTCCTTAGTGTTGATTGTAAAAAGGTTGACTTGTGGTGTGTTCGAAGGGAGAGAAAGTCTGTGAGTTGTAGTGGTTCTAATGCATCAAAAATTAAGGAGCTAAGTTTTATAAAAAAAAAGCTGCATTTTAGGTTTATTTATTAGCTTTTTCTATCTCTTTTGTGTCATTTTTTTCCCTTTTTTTATGCTGATTAAAATTTACATGGTTTTGGTTTATTCAATCGGGATCTGTAAAGGAACTTGAAGGGAATACCAACTTTGGATCTAAGACTAGAGAAGAGGATCTTGATTGATAATGCTACTGGGTACTCTATCTTGTAACCATACAACTTTTTTACTTACTTGTTTTTTTCTTCTTTTTATTTTTCTTGTTTTCATTTAGTAATAAGTGGTTGTTTTTGTTAATGCTTGTCAAATATAGTTTGGTCTTCTTGATGTTACATCTTTTTGAAATTGAATATCCGTGATGTAGATGCTTGGCAATAAATTGATGATACAACTTGTGAGTGAGGAGTTTATGTGTTCGTTGATTGTGAAGCAAATGAGAATGACGATATATCTAGAACCACATTATTTTGTTTGTCGAGATGAGAATTCTTTTTTGTATATAGCTATAGTTCTTACATAGAAAATAGGATTTTAAAGTTTTGAATGTTTGGATACAATGTTTTTACTATTACCATGGTGTCTTGGCATGGTCGGTATGGTAGATAGTTCCTGCTATTTATTTTTACGCACATCCTTTGCAATATTTGCTTATAAAACAAGGATTGATAATATTTATAGATGCGTGACATTGAAATATAGCATGATCGATATGAGCACAAGAGCCAATTGTATATGTCTAACTCTAGTTTCTTGTTATGTTTGCTTATGAACAATGCACATGAAAGGCACTAAGGTGCATGACAAGTACATCTCCTTGTTACTTAACTGTCTAAAATATAATAAGAATAGGATCTAGATTGGTTGAAGAGTTCTTGC